AATGGGAAATGAAAATTTGTATGCGTGATGAGCTTCTTCTGTTAGGAGCTTCAGAATTTAGTAACGAGAATACTTAGCGCTGAAAAATCTGTATATTATGTACTCCATCGGTTTCAATTTAGATGACACGCTTTTCTTATAAGTCCGTTAAAAAAGAATAACACATTTTTACAATTGGAAATAATTCAACTTTAAACTCGTTATTTTACTCAATTTATCCTTAATGAGAAAACTTTTATAACCACACAAATATCATGGCCCCACAAAGCTTTTACCCCTTAAGCTTTTAAGACCACAAGTTTCAAAAGTCTTTTTTAAAAAAAAATCCATACCTAGTCAAACTACCCATCTAAATTGAAACGGAGAGAGTACTATTTTATCTTTACAATGATATGCAGTAGTTTTATAAATCTTTACATTATAAACTACGCTTCAAAAATATTGGAAAACTAATTCAAAGTTGTAGCATCGAAAGTTCTATAATCTTAGGAGAAAATCAATTAGCTTCCGCTGCTGGCGGGCGGCGCTAACTAATGTATGCCGCTTGTCTTGCCATGAATTATGTTGGCAAAATCATAGATAGTTTATCAATAAAAGTAGATTATTCGATGAAAAGTTTCAAGACAAATTCAAGAAAAGAAACAAGTTTAAAGAGGTGCAAGCAAATATGGCACAAGAGAAAGAAACTCTTCTCTAAAAGTTTGAGAGAGGTTTAAAAAAGTTGAAAGTTGGTTTCACGTGAATTAACAAAATTGGATGTTAGTGACAAAGTGCATCAATGAGAATTAAAGACATGCGCTTCAACAAAATTGGGTGTTGGTGACAAAGTGCATCAACGAAAGTTAAAGACAAATGCTTCAACAAAATCAGGTATTGGTGACAAAGTGCATCAACAAGAGCTGAACACAGGTGCTTCAACAAAATTGGGTGTTGGTGACAAAGTGCATCAACAAGAGCTGAACACAGGTGCTTCAACAAAATTGGGTGTTGGTGACAAAGTGCATTAACGGGAGTTGGAGACAGGTGCTTCAACAAAATTGTGTGTTGGTGACAAAGTATATCAATGAGTGTTGGAGATATGTGCTTCAACAAAAGTGAAAGTTGGAGAGAAGTGCTCCAACACAACGAACAAGTTAGACGTATAAAACTTTGAATTACGGGAGAATATTGGAAAATTAATTCAAAGTTGTAGTAGAAAATCAAAATTATTTAGGATTTGGTATTTGCAAGTTTATTTAATTCATGTCTAAATATGATTTCTAGTCAGAATTATATAGGAATAGATTTTCATATTTCTAATTGAAATAGGTTTCGTACTATTATAAATAGGGATATTAGGTGCTTATTTTATGGGCAGAGACGTATAGAATTGTAGTGGAGATTTGTTAAGTCATTTTACGGACTAAAACAAGCACCAAAATAATAGCATGCGAAATTTGATCAAACAATATTGTCAAATAGTTTCAAGATCAATGAGTGTGACAAATGTGTTTACATTAAGAATATTCTGAATCAAATAGTTATTGTTTGTTTATATGTGGATGATATATTGATAATGAGTAACGACATTGCTAACATAAATGCTACTAAGCGCATGCTCACTAGTAAGTTTGAAATGAAAGACTTAGGAGTTGCCGTTTTAATTTTGGGAATTAAGATGCTTAAGACTCCTCAAGGTATATCATTGTCTCAATCTCATTATATTAAAATGGTACTTGAAAAGTTCAAATATTTGGACTTTAAAGTTGCAAGAACGCCATTGATTTAAACCTTACTCTTGTAAAGAATAAAGGTCAAAGCAAGTCTCAATTGGAATATGCTCAAGTGTTGGGAAGTTTGATGTACATCAAGAATCGTACACGACCTAGTATAACTTGTGTGATAAGTAAGCTTAGTCGATACACAAGTAATCCCGACCAAGCTCATTGAAATAAGTTTTGGGGTATTTAAAATATACCCAAGAATATACATTGCATTACAATAATTATCCCGCGGATATTAAGGGATATAGTAATGTAAATTGGATCACTGGATCAATAGAAACAAAATCCACAAGTGAATACGTTTTTACCATTGGTGGAGGAGCAGTGTCTTGGAAATCGTCTAAACAGACATGCATTGCACGTTCTACAATGGAATCTGAGTTCATACCTTTAGACAAGACCGGTGAAGAAGCTGAATGGCTTCGGAATTTCTTGGAAGATATTCCATTTTGGCCCAAACCTTTGGCACCTATATGCATATATTGCGACAATCAAGAGGCAATAGGAAGGGTTGGGAGCGTTATGTATAACGGGGAATCTCGTCACATAAGGAAGACATAATATCGTTAGACGACTACTATCTAGTGGAATTATCACAATTGACTATGTAAAGTCAAAAGATAATGTATCAGATCCGCTTACATAAGGCCTAACCAGAGAGACAGTTGAGAAGTCATCAAAGGGAATGAGACAATGGCCGACGACAAGTCACTGTGGCAGTAACTCTACCTAGAAAACTGAAGATCCCAAGATCTAGGTTCAAGAATATCAAACAAAGTCATTAGTGACGGTTCAACATTGTCAAATAAAAGTTTGGTCTATTCTCATGATGAAGACAATGTTCAGTAACAAGGATAAATCGTTAAGGCTTTTTAATAGTTTCTAAGTTTAATACGGGGTATATCAAATAGTGTATCTACGGGATAGCACATTTACGAATCAACTATGTAAGTGTGAAGTGTCAGCCGCTTCAAAGAGAATTATGTAAGGCCAGTTCTCTATGCACTTATGAAATCAGGCAGTGTTCATGGCTGAAATGAACACAACAATGAGAACCAAAACACGGTTAAGGATTGATTGTGTGATGTATGGCTGTCTAGGTATACAACAAAGGTCTACGGTTCAAAGATATCAAATCCACTGATTGATTGAGTGTATCCAACTGATAACAACAAAGTCGGGAATCCAAACTAGAGTAAGAATTTGAGAAGTAAATGTGAAAGCAATAACAATAAGGAATTGAACAACTAGAATTAAAGTACAGAAAATAAAGGATATGGGAAAATTCAAGGAAAGAATTCTAAGACCTTCCAAGAACGCAAGTTCTATAGCTTTGACAAGATCCAAGCAACAATATTTTGATTTATTGAAAAAATCAAACGCCTTTACTTAAAAATAAATCAAAATAATATATTCAGATCTTGACAGCTTTACGAGTAACTTGAGATAATAATTAATAACTCGTATTAATCGCCTTCTAATAATACTACAAATTAATCAATGATATCACAATAAAGAAGTTATCTTACTACCTTGAACTATGAACTAGTAAATATTGAAAGATAAATCTCAAAGCATAAGTAACAAAGGTTCATGTCACGATCCAAACCGATGGGCCATGACGAGTGCCCGAGTCCTACCTGTCGAACACCCCTAAGCACGCGTCTAAGATATAAATATGAATTAAGGGTAGGTCATGAATAACATCTGTTAATAAACTGCTGAATCACGTGAATAACATATGTGAGGAAAACATGTCCACAAGGCATATATACATATACATGCGGAATACGGTAGGGCAAGCCGACAAGACTGCTATAGACAACTATATATCCAAAACTAGAAGCCGACAAGGCCACATATTATCCAACTATACATGACTGTCTACAGACCTCTAATAGAGTGTACAACTGTATAAAGGATGGGACGGGCCCTGTCGTACTCATATCTACATACAAAAATAGTGTACCAAAACTAATAACATCTCCGGATCAAATGGAGCACACCAACTCGCACTGATCAAGGATCCTAAAAAGGGACCGTAAGCCTGTCTACCTGCACCTGCGGGCATGAAATGCAGCATCCTAGGCAAAAAGGATGTCAGTACGAATAATGTACCGAGTATGTAAGGCATGAAAATCAGTACATAAAAGACATAAATGAAACATAGAGTAAAGGAATCCGCCTGTAAGTCTAAATAACTTTATGAATCCTGAAATATTTATAAAGTCATGCATGTGAGTATAAATATCGTATCGTGCATAAGTATATATGTACATAACATCATCAAGCCTCTGAGGGCATCCCGTCATATCATCTCGGCCTATGTGGTCGAAATCATTAACATATACCAACTGATCAGGTAGTGGTGCGTATATAACACCGTAACCTTTTTCCATATCTCATATACATATAACATACGTGTATATAACGCTATATGGTCATGGATCGATGTACGTGTATAAATGAATGAAATGCATAAGAAGTAAGTTAATAAGATTTCTTGGAACGTCATAAGATCAATATGTCTTCGGATAAACTTTATCAATTAAACATTTTTCTGAGACCCATGAACAGAAGATATAATAATAAGACACATGGGAATTTAAGAACACAGGCACCCCTAGTGCTTCTACGAATAGAGACATTTATGAAAGTTGAGTATTTGCTCGTTTTGTTTGTATCATATGGATCATGCCAAAAGGAAAGAAGGGATAGCCTTAACATACCTAAGCCGATTCTCTTAACAATTCCTCTAACCCATGTCTTTTGCGAAAAACACGTAACGACGGATCGAAGTAGGGAAAAATCCGTATG